GCAAGAGTTGTCAAACAAGCCGTTGGCAAATACTCGGCACTCGGATACGGAATACGGGATACTGAGCACGGAGCTCGGAGCTCGGAGTACACTTTGCCGGACTCCAAAAAGAGTACAGAGAGACCCACCTCAGTGCACTCGCGGGGTACTACTCGGTACGGACTGTCAATTACAACTCTAAATATGTGTGTGCACTCGACATTTGTCGCATTTTGTTTGCATTTGCGCCCCGGGCCTGCAATAAAAGCCGAACAAACCGACATCGGGGCAACGAGTTATAGGTTCTGGCATATGGGAAATGCACCTAAAAAAATATATAAGAAATTAATATTAAAAAGTGTTTGAAATTTAAGAAAAGAAAGGATTTAAGAATTTTTGAAAGGGATATTTTCAAGGATATTAAATACAGATTTTCCAGCGAAAATCTAAGTTTAATAATATAAAAACTATATAGTTTCTTTTTAGTTATATTTTGTCGATTTTTCTGGCTTTTCTTTGAGGTTTTTTGGAGTAAGATTTTAAATTACCAGCAATTATAAGCTATATGCCTCAAAACCTATCATTTTTTGACCAACAAAATTCCTTTAAAACTCTTAAATAAATTTCTAGATATTTTTCGTATATTGATAGGTTTTTTTCTCAGTGTAAGTATTTTATATGCACGCTTCAGTACTCCGCCGCCGCAACGTGAGAAGAACAGAACTCTAGAGAGCCCGGAGAATTGTGTGGAAATGCCTCCCCCAACTCCGCCGTCGTCGGCAAAAGTGTCCCGTCCAATAAAATCTAATAACCACTTGGGAACACCGTCATTCCCTCCAGCCCCCTGTGCCCCTCCTTTTGGCGGAGGAGTTTGTGATGTTCCAAGGGCTTCTTAGTCCGGAGGAGGAGAACCTTATAAGCAAGGTCTCTCTATTCACTTGCACGGTTTTCGGCAGCTTTTCTTCTTCTGTATGATGACATTGGCACAAAGAAGCGCATTTCCAGAAATTTTTTATTATTATTTGGAACTTGGAGACAAGGTGTCTAGTGGTAGGCAGGCAGCTGCTATATATGACATGGGTGTGGGTGGCTTAACACACATTAAATGGGGTATAAGTAGGGGGGTTTATGAAGAGTTTTATGGGGAAATTTTGGGAGGAATTCCGGGAACTCTGTAAATGGGTTATACTTTTTGTTGACAATTGTTATGGGTTTTATGTTTTGGTTATATTATTATTTTAATAATTTTTGTGACTGCTTGTTAGTTAGTTTTTTAATAACGTAAAACTAATTTAATAATTAATTTATTTATTTATTCATTTTATTTATGAAACCCTTCTCTTTAAAGTTAAGTACTACCCATGCTCCTCTACAATTCCTCTTGCATTCTTGGGTTCCTAAGCTGGAAAAATGCTAAATATCTTGTTGAAGTTCCTCCTCCTTTGGCAAACTATCCCAACACATAGACTAGCTGAGGCTAGAACGTTTACGATATGGCACCTAATTAGGCAGAAGAACGCCGCCAGAAAATTTACGTTTCCTTTGGTTCTGGCGCAGCTTTCAAACTCCTCAAACTGCACAAACTATATTCGTTTCAAATCCTCAAACGCCAGGTTGGCCCCAAAAAATATGTGAGTGAGTGGTGTCAGGTACACTATAACAAAAAATATATAGAGTTTAAATATAAATAAAAATTATTAAATACATTTTCTAAATATTTCTGAAAATATAGATAGCTTATTTTTACTGTGAAAACTTTAATAATATTTAAATTTTAAAAATCTTCTTACAAAACCATCGAAAATGGGTCAATAATTTATTCTAAATTAAGATTACTCTCTAGGTTTTATTTAGAAAATTTTTAAAGTTTTTTTTTTTATACAAAAATCTTTTTTAAAAAAATATCTACCAGTGCCTTTAGTTGGTGCGTAGATCAGCGTTGTGCAAACACAGATTCGTTTCCCATTGAGGTGCCGATGTGGCCAGGGCCAAAATTATTGGCATAGTTACGACCGGACGGACAGCGACATACATCAAATCATAAAGCAAATGGTGCCGACAAACTAACTGCCTGGAGTTGAAAAAATGGCCAAATGGCCAAAATAACCAAAAACCGACCGACAGAATGCCCAGCCCCCTCTGACATTTACACATTTCGCCAGTCAGCCCCGAAAAGACAACGCCAAACAACCAAACACTGACGACAACCAGAACGTTCCGCTTTTTTTTTTTTTTGCGTTGGTTCCGGGAAACGCAACAAAATTTCACAACGCACCAAAAACTAAGAAAAAAAATCTGTACCCTAGCTCCATCGGCCTCGTCTTCTTTTTTTTTACCATGGAGCAACAACACCTTGACCAAAAGCAATAGCCAACTTCAAAGAATCTTCGGACCGGCCACGCCTCACATACACTAGACAACAACATTGTTGGACGGTGGTGTGTTTGTTACACCTTAAAAAAAATTAAGGTTACAAATTATAGTGATTTAAAGATTATTTTAAAAGGTTTTTAGCTGAATTTAAAATCTAAAAAATAAGTTAGATAATTTAAAAAGCCTCGAAAGGATTTTGAAAAACCCAATGAAAGACAGGGAAATCATTTATATAAATTAAAATATTCCTAAAAAAATAACTTGTTTAAAACTCCAACAACAAGTGTAGTAAAAATGTTTCTACTAGAAACTTTCTAGGTTTTGACTGTGACCTTAAAATTCCCAAGTACGAAATTAGAGACTTTGTAATGAAAGAACCCTCATCACCAATTACTTCTGAATTTCATACTTTAACTACCTGTAAATGCTGTCTAAGCCAGAAAGTAGCATTTAAATAAATCAAATATTAATTTTAAATATTTATTTAGTAATTTAGTAATTCTTCCTCGACTTTTCTCTCTGTGCTGTCCGCTGTTCTAAGTGTTGCTGCTTGCCCGTTGTTACTGTAAGTGTTGCAGATCGAAGGTGGAATGTGTTGTTGTTGCCGCGTTGTTGTCGTTGGCTGTTGATGGGCTTATTAGAGTTAGTCGAAGTTGTTTCCTCTTTATTTTTTTTTTCTCCCTCTCGGGGCGTTGCGGAAACCTCAAAGCGAATTTAGTGCGCTTCCCGTCCGTCCCCCTCTCTTCTTGGAGCCCCCCTTGCTGGTTTTATGACGACAATGCGTTTGCTGTCATAATTATTAGTCAAACACAAACAATGAATTTCATAATTTTCCCATCAATACACAACGGTCGAACGTTGGGGCCCCGTTCGTTCGTAAAACTCTCGAAACTCCAAAAACTCGGCGTCGAAAGCGTTCAAACATCCGCTGTTCCCGCACGCGCCGCCCCCGGGTAGAATTTCCCTGGAGGATGAGCTACGGATATATATATATATATATAGTTGGGGATTTGGGCTGGAGAATCCCCAAAGGGTTGGAGGAAAGAGTGGAACAACGTAGAACACTCTGCTGTGTGCTGGAAATGAAGCCGTCGCGCATAAAGTGTGAAATTGCTGGCAATTCGCAGAGACGACGATGCTCGGCTTCATTCTCAACTCGAGCTCGTCGTCTTTGGAGACCGTTTAAAGACCGGACTAATGGGAGATGTCAATGCAGTTAGAGAAATGGGGTTGAGGAAATTTTTTAAAATAATTAAGAATGCTTGAAAGGCTTTGAAAGGTTTTTAAAAGATTTTAAAAGGTTCGGAAATCATATTCTATTGAAATAAAATATTAAAAAATATTTTAGATTTAATTATAAGCCCCTCTTTTCTCTCAGTGTCCCTTACACGCTTGTTCCATTGAAATAGAACAATATCCGCGCAAATATTTGCAGAGAGCAGCAAGCAGAGGTCGTGTTTAAAATGTTTAAAATGTTTAACCAACTTGGGGGAGAGGGTAGGTGCGCGCCCAGAAGAATGGACAAACCAGAACCGAGCTTAGCGGAGATCTCTGGTCAAGAATGGGACTCCAACTACTACGACTCCAAGCCTGGACTCTCTCCATCCATAATTGTTGTTTGATCGTTGTAATTGGTTTGGTGCAGTTGAAGCACAGGAAACTGTGCTGGAAAGACAACATTGCAGGCGGCTTTACATTGATCCGTTTAACGATTTGACAAACGCGCCGAGATCTTTTCGGGAAAAAAGCGAAAAAAAAAAGGGGTAAGATGACCAGGAATCGGACCTCATCGGCGGTTTGCTTTTGAACTGGACTGCTGGATGTGTGTGTGTGTGGACTGCATGTGTTTTGTTTGTGTCGTTATGGCCGCCGCCGCTGCATCGTTTTCTTTTTGTAGTCGATAATAAAAATTGTAAACTTTGTGGCAGCTCCACCCTGGTTCTCATACTTGGACAGGACAGCCCACTTTTTGCTACAAAAAATAAAGAGATTCCCAAAAGTCTTTCAGGGGACACGCCCTGGGCATTATCTGTGTGGGAAAGCTTGTGCTCCTCTTTTCTTTACTCCTAGTGGGTGGTCTTCTTTTGCCTGCTCTAGTTGTCACCACACTTGTTCAACACTATTTGTCTTTTGTGGAAAATCTAGAACAGTCTGAAGAAAACTGTAGAGAAAAATCAATGGGAAAATATGGGAAATTGTCTCTCATTGTTTGTCTCCAATCATCATGTTTGTTGTCAAAGGCTTATTGAAACTGGTGTTGTTTCGGTGTTCACCTTTAATGGTACATTAATTGCCCTTGTTGGCACTTGAGCAATGATAAACATCAGTACAAATATTTGATTTTAGTTTTGTGACAAGTGTGTAAATAGTGTACAAAGACAAGAGAGGAGAAAGGGTGAGAAATGAAGAGGTTAAATGAAGGTAGAAAGTTATGAAAATTCTTTTAAGGATCTTTGTTTTTAAATTTAGGAAATTTGGGAAATTTTTAAGGAGAAAAAGGAGGTTTTAAAAGGTGTTTTTAAAATTCTTTTAAGAGGGATTTTAGCTTTTACAAAATTTTAAATTATATACTTTGAGATTTCCCACTTTTACCGGTATTACAAGTTTTCCTTTTTCTTTTTAAGTTAAAAAAACACATTTTTCAATAATTTCCTTTTAATCTAGTATCATTTATTCGACATTATATATATTTAAGAGTCCACATTTTTACTTAATTCACTAAACATATATCAATCGAGAGCCTTACACAAAGTCAAACTTTCCTGCTAATATCCTTGGCTTAAAACTAAGTTATTAAACACTAAACTTAATCTAAATTAAAAGCAAATTAGTAAATAAAATTACATTTAAGATTACAAAACACAGATCAGACACAAAATGTGGCAAAAGGAGGGATTCGTGTATTCTTGAGAGCTGCAAAATGAGATTTAATTTTCGTTTTTTTGAGAAAGAAGAAAGATCAATCGCTGACGGCCACCAAATCCCTAGAGGACCCCGTGGCACTTGTGGCTGGTCCCAAATCAGAACTGGAACTCGATCCCGAGCCAAAAAGATCACTGAGATTGCCAGTCACACCACCAACGCCACCCACTCCGGCGGCGGCCAAATTGTGGGTTAAACTATGACGTCGAAGATCGCAATTTCGACGGAAAACCTTGCCGCAGGATGAGCAATTGTAGGGCTTGATGTCCGTGTGAGTTAGCAGGTGGGTCTTCAAGTTGGAACGCTGATTGAAAGAGCGATTGCAGACGGGACACTTGTGCGGGGATTCCTCCATGTGGAGGATTTTGTGGACAGCCAGGGTGCGAGATTGACAGAACCCTTTGCCGCATTCCGCGCACTTGAAGGGTTTCTCCTTGGAATGGATATATCTGGGAAGGAAAAGAGATAATTGAAGATATAAAATGGTATTAGTTTGAAGCTTTAAGAAGTTCCTATGATTTCTAGATTAGTATTTAAACTAAATATCATACAAAATAAAAAGGAAACACCTACTACCTACCTATGATCCCTGAGATGATCTTGCCGCCTAAAGGCCTTGCCACAGATATCGCAGGAGTAGGGCCTCTCATCCGTGTGGGTTCTCTCATGGATCAAGAGGTTATAGGACTTGGTAAATTGTCGATTGCAAAACTTGCAAATAAATTGCTTCTTGGAACGCTGAGCAGCCGCTGCTGCTGCTGCTGCCGCCGCTGCTGTCGAGCTGCCTGCTGCCTCATCCAAGCCCGCAGCTCCTCCTGATGCTGCTCCTCCTCCTCCTAAGACACTCATCTTATCCTGATACATGGTAGCCTGCAGAGAATGCAAAGCCGAGTCCGTTTCCGTTTGCCCAAAAGCCGTGGGATTGAAGATGAAACTGCCATAGCTGCTGTCCAGGTCGCCGGCCTCAAAGGACAAGGCATCCTCGGCATCTAGCAGGGGGAGATCGCATTCTGCTGCCAGTTCTGCGGCTGTGGCACAATCTAAAGCCGCCTGTTGACTTGCAGCAGCTGCTGCAGCCGCTGCCGCAGCAGCAACGGCGGCACTAACGGTGCCTATCGAGGGCAAAGGCAAGTGGCACTTGGTGGAGGTGGAGGAGGAATTGGAGTGGGAGTTTGAATGGGAATTAGAATGGGAGTGGGAGTTGCTTGTAGAGCTAGTGTTGCTGCAGGGTGAGCTTGCTGCTGCTGCTGTTGCTGTTGCTCCTCCTCCTGTTCCATTTCCTGAAGCATTTTCCCCCGAAGAACTCGAAGAACAGCTCGATTTGAGTTCTATATTGGCTATATCTATCAGGGATGAGGACAGTGTCTCCGTCTCATTGCTGTTGCAGGTTGTATTATTGTTGCTATTGTTGCTACTGCTGCTGTTGCTGCTGCTATTATTGTTGCTGTTGTTAAATCGAAATACATCCGATTTCCCAGTTAGACGTTGCAATGCCAAATATGATTCCAAAGCCTGTAGGTTAAGGGCTGCTGCTGCTGCTGAATTTGCCGGCAACAAAGCCGCTTGCTGCAGACTACTGACCATGGTTCCTTGCAGTGATAACACAACCGCAGCAGCTGCTGCAAGATCATTTGTGGCTGCTGCTGCTGTGGCTGTAGCAGCTGCCATTGCTGCGTTGCTAGGGGTCTTGCTGCTACACTTGTTGCTGTTGCTGCTGCTGCTGCTGCTGCTCATGTCGCCTTTTGTCGCCTTGTGTGTGCCTGAGGTTGCTGCTGCTGCTGTGTGGCTAGACTTGCTGGTATTGCTGCTTTGTTGCTTTGTTGATGTTGCTACGCTGCCTGTTGCGGCTGTTGCCGCTGAACTGCCTTCGATATCGCCGGCTAGCGCCTCTGCTATCTCGTTGGCTGTGCTGGTCACCGGCATGTTGCAAGTTGCTGCGGCAGCGGCAGCACTCAAATGCTTAACTGCCTCCATAAAAAAGGCTGAGATCCACGCACACAGCTGGATACCACTGGACTCCTCGCAAAAAAGCCTTCAGGGGCTGCGTTTGCTTTTTCCTTTTCTTTTCTTGCTCTTTTTTTTATTGTTTGGCGCACCTACGCAGTGGTCCCGTGCAGCAGTGCGTCCGCATGAATATTAAAAACCACACGCCATCATAAATCACGTCTTAGTCACGCTTTCAAAAGTCATAAAAATCGAATTTGACGTTGGCGAAAAAAATCGAGAAACGAAAACGAGCCGATCCAGCAAAATGCAGTCGAGTTCAAAATTTAAAGGCACGCTTTTTTGTTTATTTGTATCTTTTTTTTTGTAACAGGCACACGCGAATAATTAAGCAAAAAATCTTTAAAGAAGCAGTGATTTTTCCACAAAAGAGAGTTTATAGGAGAGTTCTTTATAGTGATTTCCGCTTCCGCTTAATCACAACTTCCGGAATTGACACACACAAGCACACGCACACAGGTGTAACACAGTAACTATTGTTTTTTGTTTATTTTCTCTGGATGCTTCTTCTTGTTCTCCTGACGTCGAATCAGCCGTCGCTGCACACAATATTGGTAAAAGATCACGGAATAACTAAAAGTCCATTGCTCTGCCAACGGATCGCGGACCTGCGCTCACTTGTTGATCACAGTGACTCTCTCTCACTAGGAGCTCTCTCTCCCTCTCTCTCTATCGGTACGAAAAAGAGAGAGAAAACTGGAGGGATCAACTGTGAAATCACTGTCTACAAAGAGCGATCGGAGAGAAGGAGAGAGTTAGAGCCAGGTGCAAACACGTTTCAGGTTTGATCTCTTGAGCACCTTTAGTCTCCCGCTCACGCACACAAGCTTAAAACAGAGAGAGGGAGCAAGCTAAATCAGGAGAGAAACCGGTTTTGTGGCGCTGTCTTTTCTGATTTTTGAGTGGGTGTTCTTCTTTTCTTCCAATTGCCCAACTCGATACCTCTCTTTCTTACCCGTTTTTCTCTTTCGCACTTCGTGTAGTTTGATTATTTACGTTTATATTTATTTTTATAATTTTGCAAGCAATTGTTTATGATTTTTCCTAGGAAATTGAGCACTTTTTTCGGGGTCTTGCAAGGTACTTTCGCACTTAAAGGCACTGATAACCTTGAGCGTTTTTTCAGAGGAATTTAAGCAACTGTTGCTAAGGGAGAAAAATATAAAAGATTTGTGGAAATCACAGTTTACAGTAAAATAATTTATTTTAAACTGATTTTTGTTAGAATTCCCAAGTGAGAATTTGGGAACTGAATGCTGAAATCACTTACAAAGAAATATAAAATAATTATGTTAAAATACTTCAAAATCGAAACCAAGAAATATAATTCACAAGAATCCTCATATTGGATGCGGCGATCTTGAAAGACCAAGAAAGTAAAGCCAAAGGATTACGATCGAATGATAAAAAACCAGCTGTTTTTTCCGCCCTCATAAAAGGCAGCCGTAAAAATTCCTAGTAAAAAATATGAAACAATGGCTGAATCTATTAAATATTAACGATCTTAAATGGGAGAACAAAAAACACCTTGTAAGAGGTTCTGGGAATTTCTCCCTCCTTCAATTGATTTCTTTCACATTTTCGCTGAGTGCATGAACCTGTGCTAGCATTTGCAAATTGTGGCCATTAGTCAACGCGTTGATTTCTTCAGCCCGAAGCCGAGGCCTGATGATTGAAATGATTCTCCTCGCACGCTATTCCCGAGAAGAAACCCCCAGAAGAAACAGTGAGAGAGCGAGAAGAAATACAAAACCCAATCACAATTCGAAGCACAATCATAGACTTGAACTTTTTTTTTTTCAACTGTCAATTATATTTCCTTATGTTCTGTATGCAGAAAAGAAACGTGGAGAAAAAAACCCCAAGAGACTGCGATTTTAATGCGCTAAACGGCCCAAGTAAATGACCAATAATCATGGGAGCTGCCATCGCTCCGGCTGCCGGTTGGTTGGCTGTCGACTCCAGAAGAAAAAAAAGACTCCAGCTCCAACTCCATCTCCAAGTGCAATTTATTTTTGCATTAAATTGCAATTTGTGCCGCCGAGACTTGCTGTGTTTTCTACCATTTATACAGATATTATCATGATTAATAATCCACAAACATGTCATATGCTCGTTTCGTGTGTGTTTGATTGGAGCGCATTAGGATCGCAGGCTTTTTAATGAGTCCGGGAGTCTGCAATCCTCCCAAGTCTTTACATTTCGAGTCTTCTTCTGTCTCACGGTAGCAATTATGTCGCTTAGTGAATCTTAAGACTGACGACGATGATGCTGAGATGATGATCATCATTCTGTGTTGATCTGAGGATCATCCTGAATGGCGGCGCTCATCAAAAGATTACTGCACATTCCAAGGTAAAAAACTCTGTTGTATTGACACAAGCTTCCTTTTATTGTATTATTATTATTTTTTTTGTTTAATGTCGTTATATTTCGATAGTCGCGCTTTTAAATGCTCGTTTCCTGTGCCGCCGCCTCAATTCAACCGCTCGCTCGCTCTCTCTCTCTCCTCTTCAGGGACACGATCATCGATTGCCAGGCTCCATTGCCGGATCCCAGAGATCGCAGTCCCAATCCCAATCCCATCGCAGGTCTCAGTTCCAGCTTGGCTGTCTGTCTCAAGGCAAATGGTACATGATTTCAAATTTCAAGTACCAGTTTACATAAAGATCGCACAGGCTAAAAAGCTAGCTGCACTGGGAAAAACTGGGTTCCTTAAACAATATGTAAATTAGGGAATAGTTAAAAGAAATCAAGAAATAAATGCTGTAGTTTAAAGCTTTGTAGATTCTATCATTTTTGATTCTAATGAGGTACTTAAAGGTCTCACCGTCTTTTTCGACTTTTTTGTACTTTTAAAACCCTTAAAAAATCTGAAAATATAAAAAATATAATACCCTTTTATTTTCCTCAGTGTAAGGAGAAACCAGTCCCTTCAGCTCCTTCTTCCTGTCCTGTGCATCCTATCCTTTCCCTTCCTTTGCCGGTGTGCCTTTTCCTGGGCCGCGCATTGGGTTGGGCGATCCAAGGGAATGCCTTGAAGCCTCACAACCATCTGTCACAAGGTCCCCCGGTTCCAGTCGTAGAGCCTCCATCCCCATCTCCGTCTCATCCCAAGTGCCCAAGTATCCGTCTCCATCCTCCTTCTTAGTCTGAATATAAGAATGCGCTAAACTTGATTCCTTCGAAGCGAGCGCCGAGTGCGCATGCGTGGGCTGGAATTACATGATCACGATCAGCGATAAAACTTGATGTTGTACATAGCAGGCGACATGGGAGCGAGAGCGCGGGATTCAGAGTGCGGAATATATTTGGGATTCGGGATATCCAGTACGGGAAAGAGCGAAGATCGTATTGGATTTGGCTTGGATCGATCCATCGCCTCATACAAAATGTCGCAAAAGCTGTACAAATCTTCACTGGGGAGCTCCAAAAGATCCCAGGGCCAGAGCCAAAAACCCAGGTGGAACAACGGGACACCGACAAACGATGGAATGGATGCACTTGGAAAAATTAAGGGGAGTCTTAGAACAATGCTTCAATTGCAAAAAATATAAGTAGCAAACACCGAATACAGTTTTATTGACGTTAAAAGCCCCCTTAGGGCATCCAGAATAATTATTATTATATTAAAAGAAATTTAAGCTTAAAATCCACTTTAAGAACTCAATTTCTCTTTGTGTAAGGATCCTCATGGGTTGTCTTTCGGCCTTTGTGCGATCGCCCCAAGTCGTGTCAAATTATTGATTGCTGTCTTTTAATTTGATTTTGATTTTTCCACCGACTCTTGTCATCTTTCCGATCGCAAGCCATGGATCGGATCGGCAAAGGCCAAGACCGGCTGTAGAATTATTAATCTGCTGCTTTGATTTGAAGCGACACACCATGATCGTGACAAAGAAAAGTAAAAGTCATAACACACATCTAGGCCTCAGATAAGATCGCCCAAGATCACCGGCTTAACACCGATCATCTGGTCTATTGTTTTCGAATGACTTTTTTTTCCTTTGGTTTTATTGGAACTGAGTAATTATCAGGGGCGTACGTTTTTTCTACTTTATTTTTCGGTTTCTTGTATTTTTGGGATTCCCTGGAACAGACGGCAGCTCATTAGCCGCAGGCGTTGCCGCTGATTGGACCAACTATTTAATCCCTGACAGAGATTAGGCCATGTTCAGTTCTGGATTTCTGGTGAAAAAAAAGACAGGCGGTAGTCGGTCGATAATTCTGCGGTTGGCACGCACACATTGGGTTTTATTTTATTTCATTTGATTCCACTTTTGACGCAGATCTCTTATCGCCAGTTTTTTTTTCGTGAGGAATTGACATATCTACTTGGTAATTTGATCTATCGAAAAAAAAATATTGAAGAGAAAAAAGTAAAAAAGGCCTTGCCGCCGCCGATATGTTTGTTGTCTTTTGAAGGTTGCATTGCCTGCGACAACAAACAATGGCAGGGAAATCATAATTACAATGGATTAGGAAATATTAATACTTCCTTTCATCTTTTGCCGTAGGTCAAGACCCATCGACGTACTTGAGATCTCTTTCGTTTGTCCAATGTTTCGTTCAATTCCGAATCAATTGTTGTCTATTTACATAGTTCTTGAGCCGAGCAAACAACAAATGAGTTGGCGCATGGCCAAAGATCATCTGCAAATAAGTGTGGTTCTTTTTACTTGGGTTAATGGAATGGGGAAAGTATTTAAGGAAAGAAAAAGAGCAGCAGAAAATTTGGGATAAACTGGGATAATTATTTTTGGGAGGGTCTTTTGGTTTGGTTTTTCTGGGACTCGGGTTACTTGGTCTTCGTTTTTGTTTGGATCATCCCAGAGGCCTTACTTGTGATATTCTTAATGGGTCTTTGGGGTTTTGAAAGGTGTCTATAAGTACTTGATAGGAGGCAGCTGCTAAGGTTAGATTTAAAGTTAATATGTAGAATAGAACAGAATAGAATATTACTTCATAAATTTCCATAAATTCCCCTAATTTCACCTTAGTCTTCCCTGGCGCCATAAAACGCACAGTAAATAATTCCCAACTCCTTGAAACAATTCCCGCAATGTTTGTCCAATTTCCAAATTGTTTTTTTCGGGGCCATGTTCATAGTGATTATGCATCACACTCGCCTTTGATTCCCACACACCCAACACACACACACACTCCGAGCGAATGTGAAATGTGTTTTTCTCCCCCGTAAACATTCCGCGAATGATTTGCATGCCTCACAGATCCGATCGGAACCGATCTCTGGTCTCCGGAGAACGGGGTCCAATCACAATCGAAGCCATCTGGCCGAGGCGTTCGTTCGTTCGTTTGGTGGTTCGTGGGAATCAGTTCAATACAATTTGCATGCCCAGATATACCCAGACTCAAACAACTCCAAACTCTAAACCGAAACGAAACTCTGAGAGTGTGTGTGGTGTGGTGTGGTATGGTGTGCGGTTCAAGTCCCCCGAGATCTCTGGGGTCGAAGGGGCTCCGTTTGTCAATTAATTGCAGTGCAAACGGACCAAAATCGTAATGCGGCAAATTGTTGCAATTTTCTCGCGGAC